GGTCGTCGGCATCGTCGTCGTCGGCGTCGTCGGTCGTCGTTGCCGTTGCCGTTGTCGTCGGCGTCGGCGTCGTCGTCGTCCTCGTCGGCATCGTACTCGTCGTCTTCGTCGTCGTCGTCGGCGTCGTCGTCGCCGTCGCCGTCTTCATCCTCGTCGTCGTCGTCGTCCGCGTCGTTGCCTTCGACGTCGGCATCGCTGTCGTAGGCGTCGTCGTCCTTGCCCTCGTCCTCGTCATCGTCGTCGTAATCGTCCTCATCGTCGTCGTTGGCGTCGTCGTCGGTGTTGTCGTCGTCGTCGGTGTTGTCGGCGTCGTCGTCTTCGGTCTCGTCATCGTCGTCGTCGTCATCGTCGGCGTCATCGTCATCGTCGGCGTCGTCGTCTGCGTCGGCGTCGTCGTTGTTGTCGTTGTCGTCGGCGTCTTCGTCCTCGTCTTCGTCATCGTCCTCGTCGGCATCGTAGTCGTCGTCTTCGTCGTCGTCCTCGTCGTCGTCGTCGTCGGCGTCGGCGTCGGCCTCGACGTCGGCGTCGCCGTCGACGGCGTCGGCGCCAGCGTCGTTGTCGTCGTCGGTTTCCTCGTCCTCCTCGTCGTCGTCGTCGTCGGCTTCGGCGTCGTTGTCGTCCTCGTCGCCGTCCTCGTCGTCGTCGTCGTCGGCGGGGGAAGCGTCGTCGTCGTCATCGCCATCGTCGTCGTCGTCGGCGTCGGCGTCCGCGTCGGCGCCAGCGTCGTCGTCGTCGTCGGCGTCGGCGTCGTCGGCGGCGTCGGCGTCGGCGTCAGCGTCGGCGTCGTCGTCGTCGTCGTCGGCGTCGTCGTCGCGTCGTCGTCGGCGTCGGCGTCGGCGTCGGCATCGGCGTCGGCGTCGGTCGTCGGCGTCGGCGTCGGCGTCGGCATCGGCGTCCTCGTCCTCGTCGTCGTCGTCGTCGGGTTGTCGTCGTTGTCGTCCTCGTCGCCGTCCTCGTCGTCGTCGTCGGCGTCGGCGGCGGAAGCGTCGTCGTCATCGCCATCGTCGTCGTCGTCGTCGGCGTCGGAGTCGGCGTCGGCGCCAGCGTCGTCGTCGGCGTCGGCGTCGGCGTCGTCCGCGGCGTCGGCGTCGGCGTCGGCGTCGTCGTCGTCGGCGTCGGCGTCGTCGTCGTCGTCGTCGTCGACGGTCGGCGTCGGCGTCGGCGTCGGCGTCGTCGGCGGCGTCGGCGTCGGGTCGGCGTCGGCGTCGTCGTCGGCGTCGGCGTCGTCGGCGTCGTCGTCGTCGACGGCGTCGCGTCGGCGTCGTCGTCGGCGTCGCGTCATCGCGTCGGCGCGGCGTTTCGGCGTCGGCGTGTCGGCGGCGTCGTCGTCGTCGGCGGCGTCGGCGTCGGCGGCGTCGGCGTCGGCGTCGGCGTCGGCGTCGGCGTCGTCGTAGGCGTCGTCGGCGTCGTCGTCGTCGTCGTCGGCGTCGTCGTCCTCGTCTCCGTCCTCGTCCTTGCCGGCGTCGTAGAGTAGTCGTCGTCTTCGTCGTCGTCGTCGTGGTCGGCATCGTGGTCGTCGGCGTCGGCAGCGTCGGCTTCGGCGTCGACATCGACGGCGTCGGCGTCCTCGTCCTGGTCCTCATCGTCGTCGTCGTCGCCCTCGCCGTCGTTGTCGCCCTCGTCGCCGTCCTCGTCGTCGTCGGCGGCGGAAGCGTCGTCGTCGTCATCGTCGGCGTCGGCGTCGGCGTCGTCATCGTCGGCGTCGTCGGCGTCGTCGGCGTCGTCGGCGTCGGCGTCGTCGTCGTCGGCAACATCGTCGTCGTCGGCGTCGGCGTCGGCGTCGTCGTCGTCATCGTCATCGTCATCGTCTTCGTCGTCATCGGCGGCGTCGGCATCGACGTCGGCGGCGTCGTCGTCGGCGTCGGCGTGGGCGTCGGCGTCGGCGGCGTCGTCGTCGGCGTCGGCGTCGGCGTCGGACGTCGTCGGCGTCGTCGTCGGCGTCGGCGTCGGCGGCCTCGTCGTCGTCGGCGTCTGCGTCGGCCTCAGCGTTGGCGTCGGCGTCGGCGTCGTCGTCGTCGTCGGCGTCGGCGTCGGCGTTGGCGTCGTCGGCGGCGTCGGCGGCGTCGGCGTCGGCGGCGTCGTCGTCGGCATCGTCATCGGCGTCGGCGTCGTCGTCGGCGGCGCCGTCGTCGGCGGTGTCGGCCCGGCGGCGTCGCGTCGGCGGTCGTCGGCGTCGGCGTCTGCGTCGTCGTCGTCGTCGCCGTCGGCGTCAGCGTCTGCTTTGGCGGCGTCGGCGTCGTCGTCGTCGTCGGCGTCGGCGTCGGCGTCGGGCGTCGGCGTCGTCGTCGTCGTCGTCGTCCGTTGGCGTCGGCGTCAGCGGCGTCGGCGTCGGCGCGGCGTCGCGTCGTCGTCGTCGCCGGCGTCGGCGTCGGCGTCGTCTCGTCGTCGGCGTCGGCGTTGGCGTCGGCGTCGGCGTTGGCGTCGGCGTCGGCGTCGGGTGTCGGCGTCGGTGTCGGCGTCGGCGTCGGCGTCGTCGGCGGTCGTCGTCGGCGTCGGCGTCGGCGTCGCGGAGCGTCCGGCGTCGGCCTCGGCGTCGCGTCGGGTCGTCGTCTCGTCGCGGCGTGTCGGCGTCGCGTCCGTCGTCGTCGTCGGCGTCGGCGTTGGCGTCGCGTCGTCGGTTGGCGTCGGCGTCGTCGGCGTCGGCGTCGGCGTCGTCGTCGTCTTCGTCGTCGTCCTCGTCGTCGTTGGCGTCGTCGTCGTCGTCGGCGTCGGCGTCGTCGGCGGGAGTGTGCGCCCTGCGCCTGAGGGGCGAGCGCTGACTCGCGGTGCGGCCCCACGCTCTCACGCTGCTCTCCTGCTCCTCGTCGGCCAGCTTCTTATGCTGTTCCTCCTCCTCCTCCTCCTCCTCCTCCTCCTGTTCCTCCTCCTCCTCCTCCTTCTTCTCCCTCCTCCTCCTCCACCTCCTCCTCCTCCTCTTCCTCCATCCTCCTCCTCCTCCTCCTCGTCGTCCTCCTCCTCCTCCTTCCTCCTCCCTCCTCCTCCTCCTCTTCTCTCCTCCTCCTCCTCCTCCCTCCTCCTCCTCCCTCCTCCTTCTCTCTTCTCGTCCTCCCTCCTCGTCGTCCTCCTTATCCTCCGCCTGCTTCCGCTACTTCCGCTGCTGTTCCTCCTCACCGCGACCATCAACTCCTCGACCCCTCCTCGACTCCCTTCGACCCTTTCTCGACCCCTGTCCCTCCTTGATCCCTTGATCCCTCCTCGATTGCCCAACCCCTCCTCGATCCCTGGATCCTCCCTCGATGCCTTGATTTCTCCTCGATCCCTCGACCCCTCCTAGATCCCTCGACCCTTCCTCGGCCCCTCGACGAGGGGGAACGTTCGGGGGGGGAACTGGCCCAGGGGGAGGGGACATCGACCTGGAATCGGCGATGCATCGCAGACGCATCGTCGACATACCCCCGATGCCCGCACGGGGTGGGCTAACTTTGGGCCTCTGTCGGCGATCAGGGGGCCATTGGGGGTCGACGCATCCCACGCGTATCTCCATGGTGGCTTCGGGTCGTGACTCGGCCTCCGGCGGCCGCTCGGGGCGACCTGGGCACCCCCAGAAAGCCCCCGGCCAGGCGCAGCCGATGGGAGGCACCCCGAAGCCTGGAAAACCGCCGAGGACCGACCAGAACGCCCGAAAACCTCGAACCGCGAACCCCGAGCGCCCTCCTCTTGGACGCCCCCCCCATCCTCGTTTCCGGGGGGGTCCACGAGGGGGGCGTCCAAGGAGGGGCTCGCAAAGCATCATGGCTGGAGGCACGTGCGCGACCCACGGGGCGCCAAGGGACCGTACTAGAACAAGGAGAGAGGCCATGAGATCTGGGAGATATCATGGCGCCCGCAATGATGCCCTTCCCCCTACTCTGTCTGGGTTGGTGAGCGTGGGGTGGGTACCCCCCGAGAGGGGGGTCAACCTCGCCTCGTCGTCGCGCCGCGACGGGGGTCGGAGCGCCGTTGGCGCGCGGTGGCTGCCCGCGACGGGGGTCGATGTAGGGCCGTCGGCGGGGGTGACGCCCCCCCGACGCTGATTACGAAACTCGCAGTAGTCACCACCTCCCTCTTGGTTGGCCGCCCCCGACTCGTGGACGCCCATGATCCTCGCCCCTCGATCCAGAGGCCTTTCCAAACGGGGTCGGAGCAGACGGTGTCGGCGGACCGCGCCACATCGCCAATACATCGGCGATGCATCAGCGACCTCGGCGATGCATTGCCGACGTCGCCGTGGAGAAAATCGAGCTCCACATCGAGACGCCTCGGGGAGGGATGCATCGGCGATGCGGCGCGATCCTCCGACCCCGTCCTGTCGGACTCCACTTGGGAGGCCTGGAACTCGGCATGAAAGGAGCGGGTCCTGCGGGGAACGGGTCTTGGACCCTGGGCCCTTCCCCGAGGAACAGCTCTTCATCCCGAGCCGCTCTCTGACACTCCCGGGAAGCCGAGAACTGCGAAGAGCCTCAGGGCCCGCTTCCCTCACGACTCGCTCTTCTTCCTTGATGGCGAAGATCCTCGTCACTCGATCCCTCGCCGGGGCGGCGCGGCCGCCCCTCACAAGAGTCCTCTGCGACGCATCGGCGCTCAAGATCGTTCCCCTGACCCCTTCCAGGGTCCACCCTGGGGCCCTGGGGCCCAAACACGGCCCCCAGAGGCCGAAAATGGCCAACAACCTGACCGAAACCAGTGCATCCCGCCCCCCCTCCTCCTGGCCAGAACCAACGCTGGGCCACCTCAGACCCCAAGCCGGCTCCAATCGGCGCCGTCCAAGAGGGGGGCGTCCAAGAGGGGGGGGCGCAAATCATTGCTGGCGGCGCGTGCTCGGCCCAGGGGTCGGGGGGCCAGGGACACATTGAAACAAGAAGAAGCGCCATGAAATCTGGGGAGGTATCATGGCCCCCGCCATGATATCATATCCCCCCCCCCCGGGCCATCACCCCCCGCCTGGCCGCCCCCGATCCAAGCTCGAGCCCTCCCTCGATTCCTGGCTGGGGCGGCGCGGCCGCCCCTCACGACGGCAGCCCTCAGGGCGGCCCCAGCAGCCCCAGCGCCACGGCGAAGGACCGGTCCTCTGGGGCCTCGGCCGAGGCGAGCTGCAGGGCGGCCCTCAGCTCCTCAGGGGTTCCCTCCCACCGCGCCCCGCGATGCGCGACGCGCGGTCACCTTCGCGCCCTCGCGCCGCACGTCCCTGGAGAAGGGCACCCCCTCCGGCCCTGACCGCGACGTGCGAAGCGAGCGGCCCTCAGCTCCACGGGAAGGAGAAACGTCGGCATCAACAGAAACTGTCGGAGGCCCGCGCGGATCTTTTCGGTCGGCGCTGGCCCCCCCCCACAAGCAACAAGCCGCGCGGACCTCCGATGGTCGATGCTCATGTAGTCGTGACTTCTCCGACCCTGCTTAGCGCATCGTGGCACAAGTCCGAGGCGTACGCGCGGACGAGGGGGAGAGGGCGGGGGATGTGCTGAGAGAGCAACAGGAAACCACGAACAGGGGAACGAACAATGACGTGAACATAAAACTCGGAGGTCTGCACGAACTTCTCGGATGGGCGCTGGACCCCTCTCCCTGGCGCGCGGAGCGCGCCAGGGGCGGCGCCGGAGGCGCCGCCAGGGGGGCCCAGCGCGGATCTGAGAAGTCTGCGCGGACCTCCGAGTTATTATGTTAGCCCGCTCCCCTCCCATTCTTTCTGTATTGCACAAGCCACAGTGCCAAGAGCGAGGTGCAATTATGTTTGTATGTCGTTGCTCGTTCCCTGAAGACGACAGGGAGCCATGAGATCCGGGAGACCCGACGGCCCCGGCCGTGACGCTTGCGACCCCCTCCGACGCCCAAGTGACTCTCGGGCTGCAGCTCTCGGGCCTCCTGCGGCCACTCGGGACGCCCCCCCGGGCAGCCCCGGAGAGCTCCCGACGAGGCGCGACCGCCCGAGAGCACCCCGAGGCCAGAGAGCCCCCAAGAGCCCCGAGCCCAGAGAGCCCCCGAGAGCCCCCAAGAGCCCCCAATTGGGAAGACGAGAAACGCCCCGAGCTCGGGGTCCACCACAAAGGGGGGCGACCTTGAGGGGGGCATGACTTCGCCCGAGAGCACCCCGAGGCCAGAAAGCCTCCAAGAGCCCAGGGAGACTTCCTCCAACCCCCCCTCCTCGGACGACGAAGAACGCCCCAAGCTCGGGATCCACCAAAGGGGGGTGACCCTGAAGGGGGGCATGAGCTCGATCTGCTGGTGCACCGAACTGCCCCCAACATGCCCCGCCCATCGGCAACAATCGGGAGCTGCCTGCGGCTGGGGGGCATCTGTTTTGGGCGGTTCGGTGCAAAAGCCGATCGAACTCTCACACACACACACACACACCCTGGAGCACATCCCCCCTTTGCGGGATCCCGACCAAGACACCCGCTGTCTCGATTCATTCCATGCGGGGTCCACGGGAGCTCTGGAGCACCTCCTGGGGACCAAATTTCGTCCTGGATCGCTTCGTGATTGTTTTGTGACGGTCCCGCGAGGGCCCCACATGGAGGTCTTGTTCCCGGAAAGGGCTCTGGCCCAGGGTTCTCTTTTAGTATGTAAACATGTCCCCGGTGCCCAACTTGAAGGAGGCCGGCGGATTCTTCCCCTGATAAATATCGAGGTCGAAGGAGGCCGGCGGATTAAAATTTGAGGATGTCTCAGGCGAAACGCTTGTTTTTGAAATCCCGATCGATAAATCACAGGGTGCGGGACACCTCAGCACGACCACACCCCCAGCATGACCACACCCCAGCACGACCACGCCCAGCACGACCACGCCCCAGCACGACCACACCCCAGCACGACCACACCCCAGCACGACCACACCCCAGCACGACCACACCCCAGCACGACCACACCCCAGCACCAGCACGACCACACCCCAGCACGACCCGATCGATAAATCACAGGGTGCGGACCACCCCAGCACGACCACACCCCAGCACGACCACACCCCAGCACGACCACACCCCAGCACGACCACACCCCAGCACGACCACACCCCAGCACGACCCCACCCCAGCACGACCCACCCTAGCACGACCACACCCCAGCACGACCACACCCCAGAACGACCACACCCCAGCACGACCCCACCCAGCACGACCCGACACGACCACAGCACGACCACCCAGCACGACCACACCCCAGCACGACCACACCCCAGCCCAGCACGACCACACCCCAGCACGACCAGCAGGACCCCACCCCAGCACGACCCCACCCCAGCACGACCACACCCCAGCACGACCACACCCCAGCACGACCTCACCACAGCACGACCACACCCCAGCACGACCACGCCCCAGCACGACCACGCCCCAGCACGACCACCCCCAGCACGACCACGCACGACCACCCCCAGCACGACCACCCCCCAGCACGACCACCCCCCAGCACGACCACACCCCAGCACGACCACTCCCCAGCACGACCACACCGCCTTGGTTGAGTGGTTGCCTGTCGTCGTGGAATGTTTCGTGGGGTGTCTCGTGGAATGTTTCGCGGGGTGTCTCGTGGAATGTTTCGTGAGGTGTCTCGTGGAATGTTTCGTGAGGTGTCTCGTGGGATGTTTCGTGAAGTGTCTCGTGGGATGTTTCGTGAGGTGTTGCCCAGTTGGGTATCGTGAAAACGTGTCCATGCTCCACATGTCTATATCCCTTTCCGGGTTCGTGGGTCCATCATGTTTTTCACTACGATGGAGGTCTGGGCTTTGGAACCCTCTGTTAGTTTGACAACTCTGGGCGGCCAAATTCGGCCTGACTGCGCAAGGCGGGTGAGTGGCGTCGTTGGGCGTGCGCAGGAAGTGTACGTCGGCCTCCCATACGCGAATACTTCTGAGCATGCCTCAAAAAGTTCAGAGTGGTCGTTTGGGGTATGGTCGCTTTGGGGCATGCCTAAGCGAGTCCGGAGTGGAGGCGCTTTCCAAAGGATGAAAGGGGGTCCCAGGCCTGGGCCCTCACCCCCTCCGATCCTGGCGCAACCCACCAGGGGGCGCGTCCGCGGCGGCGTCCAGGCGGACAGCGGTCACGAGGGACGTGCAGCACGCGGAGCTCGCGGCCCTCCTCGGGGGACAGGGACACGGGAAGCAGCACGGGCAACACGAGCACGAGAAGGAAGCGACCCTGGGATCCGGGCTCTGCATTTGTTTCACACCTGGCGTGTTCGCCCGGTGACGAGCCTTGTGGACGCCATGATAATGGACACTCTAACAGTCCTATCATTGAATTAAACATGTGTTTAAAATGTGTAAAACATGCTCTGAAAATGTTTCAATCATGTTTCACAGATTTGAAGCATTTCTGAAACATGTTTTACACATCTGGAAATTACTTGGCAGCACGCTTCCTCTCCATTGATCGACTTCCACAAGACGAGCCCCAGAGCCATCACAAATCGACAATCGCTTTGAGGTTCAGGGTTTTCGGACGTTTCGGGACGCCTTCCAGCGGCTGCGCCTCGCCGAGTGCGTCCTCGGGGTGCCCAAATCGCCCCGAACGGCCGCCGGCAAGCCGACTCATGACCCGAAAGCCACGCGGGGGACGATCGGGGGGGACTGGCTCGTAGACAAGCGCGTGCCACCTCTCGCAAAGTATGGCCCGGATCCGCCGCGGGAAATCTACGATATGCGTTACGTAGAAAGGAAGACATGTTTTGCTGCGGGCGTTTGCGAGTAGGCAACCTGCGAGCAGCGGGACGCGCTCGGTGGGCTCAGGGGGGGCGCGAGCCGTGACCGGGAAGCAGCGATGCGTCGCCGACAGGACCCCGATGGGAAGCCTCTCTCCTGGGCGGGAGAGGGGGCCCAGTCCACGATCGGCCATGCACGGGCAGTGGGAGGTCGATGGCTCCCCCCCGTGGGCCACCCCCCCACCCCCTGCAGGGCTGGGCCTCAACAGTTGTTTTTCCCAACCATCCTGTGGTGTTGGGTCCTCGTTTTGAAGAGACGGTGCCCCGCGTTCCTTCCTCCTCCCGCTTCTCCCTCCCCCTCCTCCCTCCTCCCCTCCTCCCCCTCCTCCCTCCTCCCCCTCCTTGCCTTTGCTCTCGGCACACCTCTCACACGTTTCGTGACCCCCACCCAGGGCAGCGTTTCGTGGCACCATAGGGAGCTCCACCGAAGGCCCCAATGGGGGTGCCCGCATGCGGGTCCCCCACCCAGGGCAGCGTTTCGTGGCCCCACAAGGAGCTCCACCGTAGGCCCCAGTGGGGTTGCCCGCATGCGGTTTCCCCACCCAGGGCAGCGCTTCGTGGCCCCATAGGGAGCTCCACCGTAGGCCCCAGTGGGGATGTCCTCATGCGGTTCCCCCACCCAGGGCAGCGCTTCGTGACCCCATAGGGAGCTCCACCGAAGGCCCCACTGGGGGTGTTCGCATGCGGGTCCCCCACCCAGGGCAGCGCTTCGTGGCCCCATAGGGGGCTCCACCGAAGGCCCCACTGGGGGTGTTCGCATGCGGGTCATTGCGGGTCCTCCACCCAGGGCAGCGTTTCGTGGCCCCATAGGGGGCTCCACCGAAGGCCCCACTGGGGGTGTTCGCATGCGGGTCCCCCACCCAGGGCAGCGCTTCGTGGCCCCATAGGGAGCTCCACCGAAGGCCCCACTGGGGGTGTTCGCATGCGGGTCTCCCACCCAGGGCAGCGCTTCGTGGCACCATAGGGGGGCTCCACCGAAGGCCCCAGTGGGGGTGGGGGTGTTCGCATGCGGGTCTCCCACCCAGGGCAGCGTTTCGTGGCCCCATAGGGGGCTCCACCGAAGGCCCCACTGGGGGTGTTCGCATGCGGGCCCCCCACCCTGGACAACGTTTCGTGGCCCCATAGGGGGGCTCCACCGAAGGCCCCACTGGGGGTGTTCGCATGCGGGTCCCCCACCCAGGGCAGCGCTTCGTGGCCCCATAGGGAGCTCCACCGAAGGCCCCACTGGGGGTGTTCGCATGCGGGTCCCCTTCGTGGCCCCATAGGGGGCTCCACCGAAGGCCCCACTGGGGGTGTTCGCATGCGGGTCCCCCACCCAGGGCAGCGCTTCGTGGCACCATAGGGAGCTCCACCGAAGGCCCCAATGGGGGTGCCCGCATGCGGGTCCCCCACCCAGGGCAGCGTTTCGTGGCCCCACAAGGAGCTCCACCGTAGGCCCCAGTGGGGTTGCCCGCATGCGGTTTCCCCACCCAGGGCAGCGCTTCGTGGCCCCATAGGGAGCTCCACCGTAGGCCCCAGTGGGGATGCCCTCATGCGGTTCCCCCACCCAGGGCAGCGTTTCGTGGCCCCATAGGGGGCTCCACCGAAGGCCCCACTGGGGGTGCCCGCATGCGGTTCCCCACCACCACCACCACCACTGTGGCAGGCCCCTCACACAGTTCGTGGCCCCATAAGGAGCTCCGCTGAGGACGATATTCACAACGGCGGTACTCACAACTGCACATGGTTGGGTCCTTCGCCAGGCTAATTCGTGTTTTTCCCGGAAAGGGCGCAGGCCCAGGGTTCTCTTTTAGTTGTTTTCCACCCGGTTTTGACGGCTGTAGGGCCGGCGAATTTCTTTTGCGATAAATAACGAGGTCGCGTAGGGCCGGCGAATTAAAAATTGAGGATGTCCCTATCGAAACGCTTGTTTTTCAGAATTTGTTGAGGATGTCTCGAGCGGAACGCTGGTTTTGCAGAGTTGGGGATGTCTCGAGCGAAACGCTTGTTTTCAGAATTTGTTGAGGATGTCTCGAGCGAAACGCTGGTTTTGCAGAGCCGACCGCGACATAGAAAAGCGCCCCGCGCGCAGGAATTCCGATGATGTCTCGCGCGTGCCGCGTCCCGCGCGCAGGAATTTCGAGGATGTCTCGACTAATTCGTTTGTTTTGCTAGGATGTCCTTGAATTTTGGCAGGATGTCTCGAGCGAAATGCTTGTCTTTCATAATTTGTTGAAGACGTTTCGAGCGAAACGCTGGTTTTGCAAAGTTGGGGGATGTCTCGAGCAGGGGCCTCGTGGGGGGCCTCGTGGGGGTCCAGAATTCAGAGGGTGTCTCAGGCGAATTGCTTGTTTTCACGTCCCGCTCGCAAGAATTCCGAGGATGTCTCGCGCGTGCCGCGTCCCGCGCGCAGGAATTCTGAGGATGTTGGCAGGATGTCTCGAGCGAAACGCTTGTCCCCAGCACGTTCCGTAGCGCGTCCCCTTGGCACGTCCCGCGGTGCGTCCCATGGCACGTCCCTTGGCACGTCGCTTGGCGGGTCCCTTGAGACGTTCCGCGTCGCGTCCTCCTGGCATGCCCCCCTGTCCATTAGCTCTGGGGCAGCTACTATGTGTTCAGGCAGCTCGAGCTTAAGATCCAGATCAGTTCGGTCATGACTCGGATGCAAAGGAGGAGGACTCGATCCACGAGGCTATAGAGCACAATCGCGGCATGGCACATCGCAATTCAGCACGGCGCAGCACAGCACAGAGAAGAAAGCGCAGATACGGACACAATTGTGGGGACACCCAAGAACAACACGGGCAGCAGATTGCGGCACGGTACATCAAAAAAATACAAAAAAAAGTAAAAAATAATAGAAAACTCAGAGCGGGATCCCACGATACACTCAGCATTGCAACTTGGCACGTTCCGTGGCACGTTCCGTGGCGCGTCCCTTGGCGAGTCTCCCTGGCATGTCGCGTGGCGCGTCCCCTGGCACATCCCGTGGCACATCCACTGGCACGTTCCGTAGCGCGTCCCTTTGGCACGTCCCGCGGTGCGACCCCATGGCATGTCCCCTGGCACGTCGCCTGGCGCATCCCTTGGGACGTTTCGCGGCGCGTCCTCCTGACATGCCCCCCTGTCCATCAGCTCTGCCTGGCGCATCCCTTGGGACGTTTCGCGTCGCGTCCTCCTGACATGCTCCCCTGTCCATCAGCTCTGGGGCAGCTACTATGTGTTCAGGCAGCTCGAGCTTAAGATCGAGATCAGTTCGGTCAGGACTCGGATGCAAAGGAGGACTCGATCCACGAGGCTATAGGGCACAATCGCGGCATGGCACATCGCAATTCAGCACGGTGCAGCACAGCACAGCCCTCGGCAGGGTACATCGAGATCGATACATTCAGCATTGCATTTGCCCGTCACCCAATCAGGTGTCTTTGAAAACGCTGCCATGTGTTACAGTTCTATATTCCTTTCCGGGTTCGTGGGTCGATCATGTTCTCGTTTTGGTCTTCGTGCTGCTCTAGCTGCTCTCCTGGACCTCCCTCCTAAAACGAGAAACCAGACACGGCCGAAGTCTGGCAAAACAGCGTTTAGGTCCAGCCCTGCCCCCCTGTCATTGCCCCTGAACTCATGCGGCTCACTCGTGTCAATGACGATGCCAGCAATGGCTTCCGACTGCGCATGGACCGCCTCGAACGATCGCGGCTTTCCGAGATGCCGCAGTCCGCTCGACGTCGGCCGATTCCAAGCAACCCGCGGCGTTGAACCTTGGACGCCCGCGCCGGAATCGCCGCCGCGTCGATACGACACGCGCCTACCGCATTCTGCTCCTGCATCGGCTGCGTCGACACTGAGTCGAACTCGTATCGGATCGACCGCTCCAGGATGATGTGCAACAGCACCATGCAAGCATCGGGACGCATCGCATCGCTGGAGTCTGAATCGAAGCGAATCGGGCCGGCTAAAGTGGATTTCGAATCGGGTCGATCGGATCGAGATGGACCCTGTAAGGGGGGCAATAGAAAATAGCAATACTGGTACTCCCTGGACCTCTCCTGGAGAACGTTCTGACCAGCATTTCGAGGCCAATCCGGCCGTGGCGACGAAGGGAGGGTAGCGGTGCATCGGTAGATCCCCCTCCACTGATGCATGATGCTCCTGGAGCCGGTGGAACTGTAGGCCTGCATGACCGTCAGGGCAGCCCGCGGGCCCCGCCACAGCACGTCGCACGTCAGCACGTGCGCGAGTGCCGCGGAGGCGTCACTGCCCTCTCTGTCGGCCAGCGCGGGCTCTCCCTCCAGGAGGGCAGCAACCGCTCTCTCAAGGCAGACCTGAACCGCCTGCTGGCGCTGGGCCATCACCGTCCCGAACACGTGCCTGGCTGCGGGCGAAGACGTGGCGAAGTCCTGGGAGGCCTCCCGTGCTCGTGGCTGCAGGGGTCGGAGCATCGCGCCGCACCGCCGATGCATCGGCGACGACGAGAGATGGAGAAGAACAGGCTCCAGATCGCGCCGTGCCACCGCTGCATCAGCCGATGCCTCGGCGACGGCGGGATGGAGAAGAACGGACTCCAAATCGCGCCGTGTCACCGGGGCATCCGCGATGCGGGCGATCCTCAGACCACATCAGCCCCTGCCCCGTACTGGGGAGGCACAGAGTCCTCCAGGGCCCACCAGCAGCAGTAGAGCGGGCTCACGTGGACCGGGTGCGCTGCCGAGCAGTGGGCCAGCTCGAGGAGGGCCTCCAGCGCCCGCTGCACCAACGCCGCCATCGCACCAGACGCGTCGGCAGCCGCCGCGGGTGCCACCAGCCCCGCGGCGACACCAAGAGCGGCAGCCCCGGGCAACAGGGACCGGTGCTCGGGGTCGAAGCCAGGGCCGCACAGGGGCAGGAGCAGCCGCAGAGAGAGCTCCACGACACCAGCTGCGCTCGGCTGCACCAACGGTCTCTCCTCTGGGGGCAGGCCGCCCACCATGCTGCACAACACATGGGGCATCATGTAGGACTGATCGCGTCCAAGCTCCTTTTCAATCTTCTCCACCATGCGTGGCAGGAAGTTTGGGTCCAATCGAGCCAGCAAGTGGCAAACGGATTCTTTATCATTCCTGTCAGAGTCGTGCGCCTCCAAGCGGCTCTCCAACCATTGCCAGATCTGCAGCCCTTCAGCCTCCCGAAGTGGCTGCACCACTGGCGGTGGCGACACTGTAAGTATTTCCAATATGCTCACCGCGTGCTTGGTGATGATGCTATGGTTTTCATTATGAGCGCGAGGCCGTTTCCAAGAAGCGATAAGCGCCTCTGATGCCTTGGTCAGTTGCCGTGTCTTCTCGTCGCAGGCATCCAATGCGGCGACCTCGACGACCAGACGACGCAAGGCACCGAGGGCATCTTGCAGACGAGCTTGCTCAAGTCCGCCCACGATGAAAATGGCGTCGTTGGTCTTTACATCTTCAGCGTGGCACTCCAAATCTGCCGACCCCCGTTTGCCCGGGGGTGCAGAGGCGTGTGCGATGATTGACTGCGCCCCTCCCCCTGTCCCCCCTCCCCTGGGACCTGAAATCCGAAAAGGGCGGGTGGGGGCCTGGGGGGGGCGGGGGCTCTGGGGGCGGGCCCGGGGTGGGTCTCAGAACCCATCAACGCTCCCCCGGGGCCTCCGGAACCTCCATTTCTACAACCTGTGGCCTCCAAGATGCCCAAGAATCGATTCAGGCTTGCTCAAGAATGTTTCCAACACGCACAGGAGATAGTCCTCGAAGACGACCAAGATAGCCTCAAGACTGCTCAAGGGGCCTCAAAGACGCCCCGAGAGGGCTCCAAGACAACCCCCGAGAGGGCCCTAAGAAGCAAGAATCGTCCGAATCTTTTTTGGGAAAACATAGCAATTTAACATGTTCGCATTTTTGGTCTCAACAGCGCCCGAGACGGCTCAAGAGGCGCCCATGATCGCTCCAAGACGGCCCAAGAAGCCCCCAAGACGGCCCCAAGACGGCCGAAGAGGGTCTCAAGACGGCCCAGGAAACGCCCAAGATGGCCCAAGAGAGCCCCAACAGGGCCCCAAGTGAGGCCCAAGAGAGGCCCACAAGAGGCCCCCAGAGGGTCCCCGAGAGGCCTTCATCCCTCTTCTGGGGGACGGCGGAATGGCGTAAGCCTTTTGAATACGATGGTTTGCTTATATCGTGCAGGAGGGCCATCAACCAGTACTTGTCCATGGCGAACTCCCTGCGCTTCAACAGGCAGATGTGGCCGCATAGGCCCCACAACCTGGCCGAAACAGCCAGCAATTTCTTACCCACCGTCTCCCAGTCCTCGTCCCGGTACGCCACCAGGGCGCGCTGCACAAGCTGCATAAACTCGTCCGCCTCTCTGGCTACGGCCTCCTCTCCAGCTGCGCCTCTGATTCCGACCAAGAACTTCCCCAAGTAGTGGAACCTCTCGGAGCAGGGAGTTGAGACAGCGGCCGAGCTGCGTCCAGCCGTGGCGACGAGGGCCCCCCCCCGAAGGCCAACTTCCGATGTCTCAACTCGCCCTCCTGAGAACCTCCGCGCGAGCACCCTCGGCCTAGTAGGCGGCTGCTGTGCCACCAACAGCATGCGACGCGCGAGATCGGACGGCTGCATATGCGAAGGCCTGCGCGCGTCACATGCGAGGGAGGCAGTGGCGCGCACCACGGCGCTCGCCAGCAGCTCGTCGCAGCGCTCACCGAGGATCTCCTGCCAGAGGGCCTCGAATGCCTCCGGGGCCGACAGCGCGATCAGCCAAACGCTCCAGTCAACAATGTCCTCGTCCTTCGGGTGAACGAGCCTACAACAGAAGGACGCAAGCTGCGCACCTACACCGATCCTGGTCAGGCCCACCCTGGGCTTAGCCCAAGACGGCCAAGATTGTTTCCAAGACGATCCCACCAAGATGGCCCCACGATGTCTCCAAGACGGCCCAAGATGGACCCACGACGGCTAAACATGGCCTCATGACGGCCCCTAGAATCGGTGCATTCTCTCTCCTGGCGTTTGACGAGGCAGACGCAGTCACCGATCGTGGGCCCAGCCCGGCCAGGGTCGGTGTAGGTGTCGAGTTGACGTTCTGCGACCTGACGCTATTTGCCATCGCGCCGATCTGCATGTGGACGGAGTGGTCGAACCACCCTCCCACATGCTTGACTGCGTACGAGATGAACGTCAGCAATTTGACCACCTTGGTGGCAGGGGCGGCCGGCTGGCTGCTGGCGCTCGAGCTCAGCTCCTTGAGGGCCACCTGTAGTAGAAGAAAGATAATAAGAACAATAACACATAAACATAAACTTTTGGCGCTCCGCGCGGAGCGCGACCAGTTGATGCTTATGTGTTTTTCTTCTTCGATCTAGAATGCAAACAAACAAACAAACAAACAAACAAAACAAACATGCAGAGCAATGCATGCTCGAAGGTTCGCGCGGATTTTTCAGATCGGCGCTGGAGCCCCCGTGTCGCGCGGGGCGCGCCAGGCCAGGGGCGGCAACGGAGGCGCCACCGGGAGAGGTGCAGCGCACATGCAAGCAATCCGCGCGCGAGCCTCCTAAAGGTTCTGCGTCTGTCGTTTCCCCATGCTCAGAGGCCTCCCGCATGGGGTCCGAGTAAATGGGGTCGGAGAATCGCGCCGCATCGGCGATGCATCGCCCATGCATCGGCGATGCGTCGGCAACATCGGCGATGCATCGGCGACGTCGGTGTTAGAGAGAGCCGGCCCCAAATCGAGCCGCATCGCCGACGCATCGGCGATGCGGCGCGATCCTCCGACCCCACCAACTCGGACCCGCTTCGGGAGGCCTGGAGTCTGCCAACCTCCGCGATGCTCTTGACTGCTTGGCCCATGTGCTTTGACACCAACTTCTGCGCCTCGTCGCCGCACATGGCGGCGCCCTCGCCAGCAGAGACAAAGAGGGCAAGGAGGTCCGCCTGCTCTTTTGCTGCGGACTCCATGGCCCGGTGACGACGCGACAGTGGACGGGCGAAGGCCGCAACAACCTGGGCCTCGAGCTGGACTGGTCAGCTGGACTGGTCACAGAAGAAAAGGAGGAGGGGGGGGAGGAGGAGGAGGAGGAGAGGGAGGGAGGGAGGGAGGAGGAGGAGGAGGGGACAATCCCCCTTGGGATTGAGGATGTAGGAGGATTAGTAGGCGGATGATGATAAGGAGCGGTGTAGCATAGAGGATGCTTCAGTCTGAGTCGTGATATTCTGAAGGATGATTATTCGATGAGGAGGGGGCTATCCCCCCTCTCTCCCACCGAACGCGGCGCGGAGGCTGCCGGATCGCCGCGTGGCGCTGCGTTGGCCTGCCAGGAAGAGGAGGATTCAGCCTTGACCATTTGCGGATGAGCGCCCCTGCTTTTCCAATCAGTTCCTTGACCTCGACCCTCCCCTCCTGGAGAATTAGCCTTGACTTTGACCCTCAATCGTGCAGGTGGAGGGTCAACCTTGGCCTTGAAATTCCCGTGCCATCAGTTCAATCGAAAGGAGGGCGGCTGCCGAAAGCCACCCCAGCTCCCTCGCGCCGAGGACGAGGGCCTCGAAGAACGAGTCTCCGCCCATCCTTGCGCTTTCTCGTGGCTTGACGCCAGCGGCGCTGCTCGCGGGGCAAAATCACTGGGGGCGGCCAAGAGGGGGGCGTCCAAGAGGGGGGAGCGCAAATCGTGGCGCACGTGCGCGGCTCGGGGGGGGCCTTGGACCGATGGAAATAAGAGGAGGCGCCAAGAGATCTGGGGAGATGTCATGGCCCCCGCCATGATGTCCACCCCTCCCCTCACTCACTCACTTACTCCTGGCGGTCGAGGGTGCTCATTAGGGAAAAGGTGAGTAAAAGGAATGCGAAGCGATGTAGAGAAGCATCAGATCACTGACAACGGGGTATAGGAGCAGTGGTGCGATGACCAGGGGGGTGCCCCCCCCTGGTCATCGCTCCCCTCTTGGCCGCCCTCGAGCTCACGCCTTCCCATGCCTGTGCAGGCCTCGCACGGCATACGCACGCGCAGCGGAGACGCATCGGAGTCGATCGACGAGCGGAGCCTTCCACCCCCCGACCTTTCGGCTCCCAGAATCGGCGAGGGCGCCTCCCCGGAGCATCCCGCGGAGGAGGCCGGGTTATCTTGACGCTCGAGGCGCGAGCAGGTGCCACGCTTCCAACGGGACCTTTGCCAGGTCCAGTCGCGCTCGAATTGGGAGCCTGGAGCCCCCTGACTCCGGATCCGTCGCGCGTACAGGTTTATTTGCCTTTCGCGACGCACCCCTCCCCCCCCTCCTCTACGAAAAGTTGGGGCCCTCCCCCACCAGGCGCCCCCCAGTGATGCCTCCGGCCCCCCCCATTGGGGCCTCCCCGGCGGCGCACCATGCCCCCCTCCGCCCCGACGATTAGTTGAGCTTTCGCGACGCAACCGCCCTCCCCCCCCCCAGCGGGCCCTCCCCAGCGCCCCCCCAGTGGCCCCCAATCGCCCCGAGCGCCGCCCCAGTGGTCCCCAGCGCCCCCCAGTGGTCCCCAGCGCCCCCCAGTGGGGCCCACCCAGCCGCGCCCAGTGCCCCCTCCGCCCCGACGATTTTATTTTTCGCGACGCACCCGTCCCCCCCCCAGCGGGACCTCCCCAGCGCCCCCCAGTGCCGAGACTTCCCCGGCAATGCAGGGCAATGGCGAACAGAAAACATTTCGATATAGGTTTTAGATAGGTTCAAAAGTAGGTTCGGGAGATAGGTTCGCAAGCATAGTAGGTTCCAGGAAGAAGGTGCAACGCGCGGGGAAAACGCGTCGTCGGGCAGATAGCCTCCCGTTACTGGGTTTGCCAAAGCGCGTCGGCGCAAATGCCGCGGGCAGCTAAGTTGGCGAAGCGAATTCGCCAAACTAGCCCTGGCGAGTGCACCCGGGGACGCTCCCTGGCCGCGGCAACCTCGCCAAGAAGGTTTGCAATGGAAAGGGCGCCAGGGCTGCATTTCAGGCAGGGGCCACGACACTTTTCGCGCGATGCACCCTCGGGCACTAAACATAGAAAATTAACGAGAGCGGCTGCGGAGAAGACCTCCGCAAACCCGACCCGCCAGAAAAGCAGTCACGACGATGGGTGGCCCAAAAATCAATTGGGGCAGCCCCAGCAACTGGCACGGCGAACAACGCAATTCAAGGAATCCTGGACAAGCCGGCCCGCCACCAACAATCACCACCCCAGCAAAACCCCCATGCCGATACCGTGTCCCGGCGGGGTTCGGACACGCCATGGCTCCTCCTCATTATCACGGCCGCCCCGCCCAAGGTCATTCTGCCCTCCCCAAAGCCACTCGTCATCAATCACATCATGCTTCCCATCATCGCCCCCCTTGCCTCACCATCCTCTCCCTCGTCAGCCGCAGCATCCATGTTCTCATCCTCCTGCCCCCGATCCTCCCCGCCCTCCCCGTCCCCCCCTCCTCCTCCTCCTCCTCCTCCTCCTCCTCCTCCTCCTCCTCCTTCTCCTCCTCCTCCTCCTCCTCCTCCTCCTCCTCCTCCTCCTCATATTCCCCATCTTGTTCCTACCTTTTCTCCCTCATCCCCCCTTCATCCGCCCCTCATCCCCCACCCGATCCTCCGGATCCTCTTGGTCCTCCTCCTCCTACTCCTCTCTCCTGTTCCTCCTTCCTCCTGGCCCTCCGTTTCCTCGACCTGGCTCTCCTCCTCCTCCTCCTCTTCTTCCTCCTCCACATCCTCCTCCCGGCTCTCCTCATCCACCTCCTCCTCCTCCTCTCCCATTCCTCTTCCTCCTCCTCCTCCCCCACATTCTCCTCCACCTCCTCCTCCTCCTACCTTCAATCCCTGACCTTCCATGCTTCCGAAAACAGTTTGAAGTAGGTTTGAAATAGGTTTGAAGTAGGTTTGAAGTAGGTTCGAAGTAGGTTTGAAGTAGGTTTGAAGTAGGTTTGAAGTAGGTTTGAAGTAGGTTTGAAGTAGGTTTGAAGTAGGTTTGAAACCTACTTTGAGGCCTCCGAAACCTACTTTGAGGCTCCTAAAACCTATTTTGAAGCCTCCGAAACCTACTTTGCGCTACCGAAAACCTACTTTTGGAATCCGGAAACCTTCTTTGGAACCTACTTTGCAAAAACAAATTCTGCAAACCTACTTTCCGACCTACCCTACTTTGAGGCCTCCGAAACCTACTTTGAGGCTTCTAAAACCTATTTTGAAGCCTCCGAAACCTACTTTGCGCTACCGAAAACCTACTTTTGGAATCCGGAAACCTTGGAACCTACTTTGCAAAAACAAATTCTGCAAACCTACTTTCCGACCTACTTTGGGGGCGCGGTTCCTTGAAACATCAGCACACGCTTGCCCGAGCCTTTCCCAGAAGTCGCCCCCGGGGGCGGCGCGCCAAAAAAGGAATCTGCGAAGTACCCCCAGAAGGTGAGCAAACCCAAAACACTTGTAGGTTGCCCCCGACAGGCGGGAGCCCCCCAAAGGGGGCGGTCTCCCCCCCCCCCCGAGGGTCGAGGATCGAGCGCGATTTCGCTGTCGGGCGACAAGCGAACGTACCGCGACAGGACAGGGCCTTTTGGCAGCCCCCCCGCTGGCGGGCAGGGGGCCGCCGCCTGGCGCCCTAGGTTCTTCAGAAACCAAACCTGACGCGGCCGCCCCCCGCCCCCCGGGGCCCCTCCGGGCCCGGCCCGACGGGGGCGCTACTCCCCTTCCGTTTCTCTTTCCTCCTCCCACCTCTCTCTACCTCCTCTCCTCTTTCACGCGTCCTCATTATTCCAGCCTCCCTCCACCTCCTCCCCCCGGAAACGCCACCTCCCCCCTACCCGCCTTCTGGAGCCCCCCACCCTCCCGTTTCTGACCTTCTTAACCTTCCTGGTCCTCCCTCTCGCCCCCCCCCCCTCCCCCTTGCTCGGGCCCGCGGCCCTCGCCCCGCCCTCCATGCCCCACTTCCCGCTGTGGTCAGACCAAGGGGGAAACGCAATGCCCCCAGATCTCAGGACGGAGGTGGTTTAGAGCGCTTCCTGTTCCAACAACCCCCAGTCTTCCCTTCGGGGATGGATGCACCCCCCCCCCCCCCTCCTTCCGGGGTCTGCAATGGGGGGCGGCGGGTCGCTGGAGCGCCCGAGACGGTCAAAGATAGAGCCGGCATGACCTCGCAGAATGCAACGCGGTCTCACAGATGGTTCAAGATAGCCCAAGATGGATCAACATTGTTTCCCGCATGCTCCAAGAAACCCAAATACCGCTCCGAGACCGCCCCAAGCGGCCGCGGAGCCACCCAATAACACCCCCGAGAAGCCGAAATCTTTCCAAATCGTACGAGACACGAATGAATTGGGCCTTTTGGTCCATGCGCTTCCGAAGACTTTGGAAGCCTGAAGATAAGCCCCGAAGGAGTCCAGAAGAACCCAAGACAGCGCACTTCACGAATTACTCGGCTGGCTTGCTAGCAGAAGCCGCGCCTTGCCGGCGGCATTCCAGCATTTCCCCGAGAAGCTTGTTTGGAAAATATCATTACTGACCCGATCCCGACAAGTTACTTTTGATATTGTGTTTCCGAGAACCTTCCCTGGAAAGCTACTTTTGCACATGAATGTCGCATTCCTTCCCCCTGAAAGTTTCTCGCGGCAATCGGTTTCGCCATCCTTTCCCTTCGAGTTACCTGCGCCGACCACTGTTGCCAGGCGCGCTGCAGACCTACTTCGCCGACCTACTTCAGGAGCTACTCTAAACCTACTTCATTTGTTTTGCGCGTCAAACAAGCCCTGCATTCGAAGGGAAGTCTCGGCCCCAGCGGCCCCCAGCGCCCCCCAGTGGGGCCTCCCCTGCCCCCCCCCCCCCCCCCGGGGACCTCCCCAGCGCCCCCCGTGGCCCCCAGCGCCCCCCCAGTGGGGCTCCCCACTCCTGAACGCCTCCGGTGTGAGCGAGCGAAACGGCTCGGGCCGAAGTCTGGACTGTGGGAGAGGCCCCTATTCAAGTGGCGCATAGCCGGCCC